TGGTGAGAGGACAGCAGTAAATGCACAGCTGGTTAGTATCTCATTTTTTACAATCACATCCGTCTTTCTCTTTAAGCGCATAGAACCATGTACACACTTATTTATAAATCCTTCATGAACGATCTATGAAGAAGTTGGATACTCAATTTTTGTTGAAGATTTACTTATAGAAATAATGAGTCACTTCAATGTATACCATCCCATGCTTCTTCAAATTATTTATACTCATCTATTTCTGGAGACAGTAGCTGCTGAAGAATCATATTATTATTATTATTATTATTATTATTATTATTATTATTACGGGCCAGTATCAGACCCGCCACCTCACCCGCCACGTGTCAGTAGAGGTAGTCCACACCACGTCACGCGTCAAAAGTCTTTGTACTACATAAATATTCATACATGGACTTGCGAGACTATTGTTACGGGCAGATGGCAGACCCGCCACGTGTCAGTAGAGGTAGTCCACACCACGTCACGCGTCGATCGAGGTGATTGCACATGGGATGAGGTGATTGTACATGCCGAAGTGATTACGTGAGGAACGAACTGAACACGCGTCGCGAATGAATCGGACTCATCCGCAATTACACCGCGGATGCAAAGGTCTGCACTCCGCTCCTGCCTTGCCTCGTCCATCAAAGATCTCTTGTATAAAGATCTTTTCAAAGTCAAATCCCTGACTGATGGGACGTGTAGCAGGACCCAAACGGTCAATTCAACTGCCTTTGTCAGAGATATTCAATGCCAACCAACCTATGAAAGGGCGGATTGACACTTAGGATGGGACGAGCCTTAAGAATCTGGCAACACGTGTCTCCTCATCCGATGACTCTCCTTTTCCCATCCTTAGTATAAATATTCCCTACTCGTGCCAGAAGAAGGATTCGATGGAAGATTTTCTCCTACTACACTGCAAATTTGAGTATCATCTTCTCTCTTAAATATTGACACTTTTATCACTATACACTTTATCAATCACTTCTCGGCGAGTGTTCTACCGTCGGCGAACTTTTTTCCGGTTGAATTATAAACTGACTTGACCGTCGGAGTGTTGCGGCTGCTCCCAACCCCTCCGGAAAAGGCCACGGGTGACTAACGGCGTGCCATGTGTGCATGGAAGAGTTGACTCGAAGACTTATTCCGTTGGCCACGTGTCAGGCCATTTTTCGAGGTCAACAATTATTATTATTATTATTATTATTTTCTATACATTGGAAATAGAGATGGGTCACTCTGCCAATGACAAAAAACAAAGACTTGAATTGTGTTATGCGACCTGCTAGGTTAAAATGTTTAGTTTAACTCTAGTTCTACCATCTGTTGCAAACGAAGGTGGCCTACGAGAGTAAGCTTTGTCACACAGCTTTAACTGATTGAAAATAGTCACAATTCAGAATGGAGTACCACCTCTCAGTTTTATGATTGTGAAACATGCCTTGACCTTTTTGGAGTGCTATGTAAAAGCAAGGACCGTGTGAATATAAAGAATAAACAGATTGTAGAACTTGGTGGTAGAATTCCATCTAAATGATTATTGTCATGGAAAATGAAAAATTATGACAAGAGTGATGCTATTTAGCCGCACTAGGGTTACAACCTCAGTCTAGGAGGTATTAACGTGGCTTCAAATGATAGGTAAAATTAAATGATACATTTTATTTAGCCTATCATCTAGCGCCACCTAAATTGGGTTTGTAACCCCAGTGGGGTTACATAGCATTACTGTTATGACAATGTTACTATGTCTTTTATTCTGACTACACAGGATTGACTGGAAGCTCTTTCATATCAATTGACGTAGGGAATTGCTGTTTATCCGTGACTCGTGGACAGTATGCATACTTACAGTTCCAGAAAAAGTAAAGAAGCTAGGGACAATATGCCATTTCACATTGTTTGCCTTAAATTTGCTTGATTTTCTCTTTATTGTACATCTTCCATCATCGTTAGAGTGCCTTCAACTTTGGCCTGTTCTACCTTCTAATTTAGAAGTTCATATCCTAGGGAGTAGCCAGGTTTAACTGCAGAGATCTTTAGAACTCATTATTCTTTTTGAAGCTCATGCAGGTTAAAAGTCGTTTCACAACGGGTGCCGCTTCAGGATCTTTTACTTCTACATCTTTCGACCCCGTCACGAAACATGAGTATGAATACACGATGGTTGAGAAAAATCCAAAAAAGAAAGGTTATATTCGGCTGCAGATGACCCATGGTGATCTGAACATTGAACTACATTGTGATATTACTCCGAGGACATGTGAAAACTTCATCACACTTTGTGAATGTGGTTATTATAATGGAGTTGCTTTTCATAGAAACATAAGGTACATGAAATAGCTGTTTTACTTCAACATAGCATTTGCAAATTTAATTCTTGATGTATCAAAATTTGACATCAAGGGATTCTGTTGTCCCGGATAAGCAGGAACTTCATGCTTCAAGGCGGTGATCCAACTGGGACTGGGATAGGAGGTGAGTCCACATGGGGGAAGCCTTTCAAAGATGAATTAAATTCTAAGTTACTTCATTCTGGAAGGGGCATTGTTAGCATGGCAAACTCGTCCCCACACTAACGGCTCTCAATTCTTCATACTGTACAAATCCGCAAATCATTTAAACTTCAAGCACACAGTTTTTGGTATGGTGTTGGAGGTTTGACAACACTTTCAGCATTGGAAAAAGTCCCTCTTGATGATGATGACCGACCTTTGGTTAGTAGTCGACTCATAGCTGTCCTTTTTGTCATCGTTAGAGTCCAATATACTGCTATTTTATCTCCATTCTATAAATTAAGTTCGTTCCTTTCTCATAATTTTATTCACTTTTTATTAAGACTGAGCATAAATTCCGGAATTTCTAATCTTTTGGTATAATGTGCTTTTTCTTATTATTTTTGCGTGCTCGTGCAGGAAGAGGTTAAGATTGTCAGTGCAGATGTCTATGTCAATCCGTACACAGAACCAGATGAAGAGGAGGAGAAAGAGAGAGAAAGAGAAGGCCAATTATGAGAAGAATGCCGAGGATGAAGAAAATGTTAGTTTTGGAACTCCTCGACATTGCAGTTACTATTTTGTCTTCCTGTAGCTTAGATTATTCCTTTCTCATTCATAAGTTTATGCGGTTTTTATAACATTTCAGGATAAGATCGGTTCATGGTACAGCAATCCAGTTACAGGAGCAACAGGGACTCCTGCTGTGGGCGATGGCGTCAGAAAATATTTGAAAGCAAGGATTGGGCAGGTATCATCTACCACTGCTCTCGACAGTGATATGCCGACAGTTTCTACAGTAAAGAAAAGATAATTAGGCATGCCAACTGGAGAACTCGAAAGAATTTTTTGCTTGGTAAGATTTTCAAGTATCTTGTATCACTTACACAGATTTTACCGCGACTGGTTTAGACAAAGAGCGAGTGATATTGGATTTTACAGCGGGAAACCAAAACGAGTTGCTCTGTAGTTTCTTCAGTCTAAAGAAATTTTACAGTTGGTTCTACAGGGTAAATTACCTTCAATTTCTTTCAATTTCAGAGGGTTTTTTTTTTTTTTTTGATCACCCCTCTCCATTAGATGATTTTGTTATCAATGTAAATAATTTTTTTCACTAGTAGTAAGAGTGAAGCCACATTGTCGGTATAGGGTGAAAATCCAAAAAATATCTTGAATTGATTGGCTTGTCTTTTTTATAAATACGGTACTTCACCATTTTTTCGTCGCATTTATATTTCTAACATTTTTTCATCAAATTCTTAACATTTATCTTTTATTAACTAGCAAATCTTATCATTCGCCGCGATACTCTTCAAAAAAATGCAGTTTGCATGCTTTAAAACGATGACAAGTATTTTGTCTAAATTTTGTTTTTTTTTTTTTGGCTTATTTAATTATATGGGAGCAAATAAGTTTTTCTTAGGTCTTGTATGGGAGGGATTAAAATCGGATTAAAATTGAAAATATAGTCGTTATTGTTGACTTTTATTAGACGGGTGGGGCCCAATAACGGACATATTTTCAATTTTAATTGGATTTTAATCACTCTCGAACGGGGTCTTAATGAAATTTTTGGACCTAAACCATCATCTGGGCAATGAGTTAATTTTGAAAAAGTAAATCACATATAAAGCTCCCGTTAGATTAAAATTTTATTTCTAAAAATAATTTATTTTAAGAGCTTGTTTGGCACAGTTCAAAATTGAATTAAAATTGAAAGAATAGTCGTTATTGTGTCTCACTTGTCTAATAAAAAGTAATAATAATGACTAATTTTTTAATTTTAATTTTAATCTCTACTCAACACGTCCTAGTCTTCGCTTATCCAAAGGCGCTTAACTACACTGGAATTACAACCTCAATTTAAGTCAATCTAGTCATTTAGATAACGTTAACGTGACATTAAATAATAAGTGAAATTAAATAAGTCATTTAATTTCACATTTCATTTAGAGCCATCTAGATTGGATAGGGACTACGTATCATTACTTTTTTTCTATTAAAATATTCAGAAGCTCAGCCAATTAAAATGTGCCACTAGGGCTATCCTTACAGGCGGCTTCACCGTCCACAAATTTACCCACGTATTCAAGAAATCTACCCGGCTCATACCGTAGATTTTGTCGTATTCCGGGGACAATAATGACATTCCAAAATTGTCGCCTACGGTAATCAATCGTCTTTTCTGGTCTAATAATTCTTGTACACTCGATCACAAACTCCTTTATTTACCTATCTTCGATAATCAAAAATCAATGCACAGTAGCCAGTGACGTTGAGAAAAAAAAAAGGTCATTGAGAGAAGACAGAGAAGAGATCTGTCTCGTTTTCGAGTCACGAATGGGTCTCTGGGAAGCTTTTCTCAATTGGCTTAGAAGGTTCGTATTTTATAAGTTTATGTATTTTCGATTGGATTTTTTGGGTTTGAATTTGTGCATTTATATTTGCTTCTGGATCTAGTTTATGCGGTTGTTTGGAGGTTTGCGGATTTGTTTTTGTTTTGTTGAAATTATGCCTTGTATTGTTAAATTGTTGCGCTGATTGAAAATTTTGTATCTTTATGTTTTGTCATCTACTCTATTGGGATTATTAAGTTCGTATGGAAACTCGTGTAGATTACCCTATACAAAGTTGCTGGAATACAATTATTAAAATTAGAAGTGAAGGTTTAGGATTATTTTGTTAGGTAGGCTGGTACAGAAAGTCAGTTTTGTTTTGTTGGAATATATAATCATCGAATTTACCCGATTATTATCATCGTTAGCTGAATTTGTGTCACGGTAAACCGTGTACCTTTAGTAATTCATTTTCTTTATTTTTATTTCAGATATAATCATAATTTTATTTGGAGTTCATCAGCGGCGAAACTTCTCACCATTTTATTGCTTCTCATTGTTTTTTTTTCTCAATGAAATGCCCTATATGCACATTTCCTATTCTAGATTATGGTCATCTACCACAGGGTAATTTCTGTTACCCTTGTTTTTAGGGACTGCCTGTGGACTGCTTTTGTGAAGTATATTTCTTTTTTCTTCACCTGCACCTCCAAATAAGAGTGCAAACTGCATTACATTTACTAGTTTGACTGTCTGTTTAACCGTTTCTTACTGCAATATGCAAGATTCTTGTGAACGGTTGAAGTTTTGTTTAACATATTTAAGTACCATGGTCTGTGCATAGTTCTTGTTTCCTTTTACCCACTAAGTTTGTCATATGAATTTTTATAAATTTGTAATGAATCACAAGTACAGAAGTTTTGAGTATATTAAATGGAAATAGTTTAGTGCAACTTGATTGACAAGTTCAACAAACATATTACGTGGAAATAATCAAGCATAAATTGTGGCAAGGGTACAATATTTGCACCTATTTCTGCCCATACACAGGGTATGAATAATAAAAAGGGGTGATGACATACCAATGCTGTTTGTATAGGTGTTTCTCCACAAAATATACTTCCATGATTGCATCACTAGCGATTCTACTATTCCCAGGAACCTAAGCATTAGACAGATAAAATCATAAAATATCAAACCAAACTGATGTATTTAACCTTTTTATTTATGTTGAAGCTTCAAAAGGAAATAAAGTCAAGCTTCACTTGATTTCTGCTTATTAATTTATTTTGCTAATTTTTATCTCTGACCGGGGAAAATATTGTGGATTGAGATTGAAGACTGTCATATTGACCAATTTATCCTCCTAGCTTATTGCATAAGGATTGCCCATCTACCCTCAGAGGCTGATTTTATGCTTGATACATCATTTTTGACATGTTCAAAAGAGAGAGACTCTCATGAGTTCATTTGTCTTCAACTTCTGAAGTAATTGATGGGTACATGTTTATTTCGTCTTGCAAGTGGTTGTTATGACTCTTAGTTGAGAACAATCTTGTTAGAAATGTCACATAACTTGGCAACAGAAATGATGAGGATCAAAGGAGTGATAAGGAGACCAGAAAATCTTTGAGTAATAAGATTGTCAAATTCAAACCAAAGAACAAATGCAAAGTTGTTAATTTGTTATTTTATAGTATTATCTATTTTTTGGATAAACACTAGCTACAATAATAATAGAGTGTTGTTGAATTTATTTTATTATAAATAGAAATAAATGTATGCTAGGTGCTTATGGCCTATGGTCATGAGTCAATAGTCTTATAATCAAGTCTTTTATTCATTTTTAAAATTCTTTTCATATTTTCTTCTTGGTATCAAAGTCATTGTGAACACTCGGCATACCTCAAGTCTTCTCTTACACTATCACTTTACTATCCATAAATGTTGACAACTTCTTTACACTCATCTCTCATTAATTCTTGTCCATCAAATACATCCCACCAAATCCAAACAAAACAACAGAAACAAAAAATTTCATGCAAAAATTTACAAATGAGTTCAAGAACAGGTTGATCATTTCACCAATGTAGACCTTGTCCCCACCAAATACATCACATTAAATCAATCCAAAAAAAAAATAAAAAATCACACCAAAATTAATTAATGAATTCATTGACGGGTGAAAGTTCGATCCTCTCATTCATGGTTGGATCATTGCAACAGTTTAAAGAAAACACCCAGACTCATTATAGGCTTAGCCACAACCCATGCAGTATGGGAAGCACTTGGAAATATTTATATACATGTGACATATCTTCGCAAGAATAAAGATAAAATTTAATGTCGACTTCTTCATCAAACCGATGTCCATAGCAACTCTCAATTTTTTTAATCAAACTGTGTCTTCAACCCCCGTACATTTTGCGGGAGGATGTTGGAAATGTCACATAACTTGACAACAGAAATGATGAGGATCAAATGAATGATAAGGAGACCATAAAATCTTTGAGTGAGAAGATTGTCAAATTCAAACCAAATGACAAACGCAAAGTTGTTAATTCGTTATTTTATAGTTGTTATCTGTTTTTTGAATACACACTAGCTACAATAATAATGGAGAGTTGTTGAATTTATTTTATTATAAATGTGTGTTGGGTGCTAATGACCTATGGTTATCCGTCAATAATGTTATAATCAAGTCTTTTATTCATTTTTAAAGTTTTTTTCATATTTTCTTCTAATCTCATTTATCTCACTTCAAATTTTTTTTACTGTATTCAATTCCAGCAAAGACGGCTGAGTGAACAGCCGTTGGAAGTTAATTATCTTACTCGTCGGGCTTAATGAAAATACTAGTGATTTTTTGTTACCTATTTACACAACTGTTTGAGCCACATTATTCTCCCAAGAATGCATTTTAAATAGTGTTTGATGAAAAATATGTGGATAAAAAATAAGGAAAATTTTTGGATTTGCGTGTAATATTATTTTATTGAAGAATATGTAGTTGAAAATAAGAGAGAAAAAATGTATTTTAGAAGAATAAGTATCAAACATGGTGTTATTATTGTCCATTAGAGTTCCTGACACAAGCAGTGCTTTAAGTTCGAGGACTTTGTGGTTCATTCAAGCATTCTCGACCAAATATATCTCAGTTAACTGTACCGTTTCCTTGTTAAATGAAAATTTTCAAATTGATGGACTTGCACGATTGTTTATATTGTACAGCCTTTTCTTCAAGCAAGAAATGGAGCTTTCTTTGATTGGTCTTCAAAATGCTGGGAAAACTTCACTTGTAAATGTTGTCGCTGTAAGCATGCAATATTTTATTCATCATCTTTTCACGTCTCTTTCGATAACTATTTGCTCACCCTTTATCATGAGTTGGTCAAACACAGCATTTACATTTTTGTTTGTTTTTCTTAGACTGGTGGATATAGTGAAGACATGATTCCTACGGTTAGTTTTCTTCTTTCTCTACTACTTTAGATCTTGCTAATTGTTGATTACATATTTAGTTATTTACAAGTGATGTTTTTTCATCCTTCAGGTAGGATTTAATATGCGGAAGGTCACCAAAGGGAATGTCACAATAAAATTGTGGGATCTTGGAGGTCAACCCAGATTTCGGAGCATGTGGGAGCGATATTGTCGTGCAGTTTCTGCTATTGTGTATGCAATTAACTCCAGCTTACATGGCTTAGATTTTTGTTTTCTGTTGGCTTTCTATCTGTAGTTTAAATGTCATAATTAATGTATGCTTATAATCCCCCACCCCCACTCCTTTTCTCAAATCTTTGATGAGATTTTCGTTGACTTCTCTATTTCCACCAAATGTGCATCTTGTTCATATTCAAGATTCTCTACTGTGCATGTCATTGGGACAATAAAGTAACTGATTAGGACTTCTATTAGATCATGCTTCATCATTCATAAAACACGCACTTATCTGAATTAAGTTATAGCACAAGACAGAACACCCGGGAGTGCAATGATTCCTTATTAAGGATTCATCTATATTTCGCATTCAAATCCAATTATTCTAGTTATACATGGTTAAGTCTGAAATTTAATGTGTGATAATTTTCTTATTCTTTTGTCATCTGATTTGATACAGTTATGTTGTTGACGCTGCTGATCATGACAACGTCAGCATCTCCAAAAGTGAACTCCATGATCTGCTGAGCAAACCATCGCTCAGTGGTATTCCTTTGCTGGTATTAGGAAACAAGATTGACAAGCCTCAAGCTCTATCTAAGCAGGCTTTGACTGATCAAATGTAGGTTCAGACGCCTACACTCGTTGCTCTCTCCTACTCGTCACTAGGGGTTTACCGACCCCAGTGTGCTGTGTCTATGAGCATATTTGGCTAAGCCTAAAAAAGAAACAAGATGACCTTTTTAAGAAGGAAAATCAAGCTTTTAGAGAAAGCCAACTTTGTTTTTAAACTCAAAAAGAAGGAACCAGCCTTTTAAAATTAATCCTAACATGTTTGGGGAAAAAGCTGCTTAAAAGAACTTCTAAGGCTACAAACTTGTTTGGCGAAATTTTCAGAGTTACTATTAAGCAAGCTTGCTTTTATTTTAGGCTTAGCCAAACATGCTCTATGTTATCGTGCATTTTTCCTTTTTAGTGTATGCATGTGACAGCTTTTTGTTTCTGTGGCTTCATTTGGTAATGAGACATGGCATCGTGTTGTGTAGGGATTTAAAATCTATCAGTGATAGAGAGGTCTGCTGCTTTATGATCTCGTGCAAGAACTCGACCAACATCGACCAGGTCATTGACTGGCTAGTTAAGCATTCAAAATCGAAGAGTTAAGGATACGTCTATGGACTCTTTGACTTGTTTCCAAAAAAAGTATTTAAGAGACAATTTTCCTGATGGTCGATGATATAATTATGGCTGATTTACTTTGTGCTTCACTCAAAGTTGATTGTGTATTGTAAATTAACTTGTATCTGTTTTGAAGTTTAACTACAATTGACCTTTATGTGTTGAGTTGTTTATAGTATCCTTTTTTTCCACTCTAATAGGTGTTAATTCAATTCTGAAAAGTGTCCCTTCCCACGCTTTTCGTAATCGATGTTTAGTGGTTTGGATTAAGTTTAGCTCGTGAGCATCATCAATGTTATAAGATACATATCTTGTGGTGTATGTAAGATTGTCTAACGTTGAATAATCTATCAATTGTTGATTGAGCATGAAGGATACAAGTTGTTCGAGAAGTAAGATTCAACGTGTGCTAGCTCGAAAATGAGTTCAACTTCAGGATAAAGTATTACAAATCTCGGGCTTGGAAAGAAATGGAATGTAACTTGAATTATTCTTGATGTACATAAAAATTGGTACATAGGGGCGTTCACACGGTCCACTTCCCATGTACAAAAAATTATGTACACGAAACATGTCCCGTGTAACTTTTACCAATTGAAGTTAATATGCTCATGTGTGATAAAAAGCAATCCATTGAGCAACAAATATGTCTTTACTATACCAAGCATGTCCCATTTAGAAAAAGGATTGTGCTTCTTTGTATATAACTATTTACTGAATATTTTACATAATGATGAGATATCAAAATATAATTGGGGGAGTTATTTGATTAATGAGATTTTAATTCAATTAAATCTCGTCACATCATCTGTCGATAAATCATTATGTAAATTATAATATACATGGAACATTTATTTCCATTAATAAGTTTTATATTTAGAGCATGTTTGGTACAGATTCTCATTTTCTACAATAAATCAATTCTCATTTTCAACCACATATTTTTCAATAAAATAATATTTTACATCACATCAATACATTTTTCTTCTTTTTCAACCACACATTTCCCATCATATCACTATTCAAAAATCATTTCTTCCCCTGAAAATTCCTACCAAACACACTCTTATTACATGTACATCAAAATTTACTGGACAAATCCATATTATATAATCCATCATGTATTTCTCTAACGACAAAACATACTTCTTATCTTCGAATATCTTCTTCTTCTTGCTATCTTTATCTAATTTTATTTAAAAATATATATCTTCACAGTTCAAAATCCACCTCTGTTTCTCTTTGCCATGGATGCCGCAACTGGACCTTCGAGCCTCCCCACTCCGCCACCCCAATTGAACCTTCAGAAAATCAAACAAAATCTCCTGAGAAATGGCATCCAACCAACCCCAAGAATCCTCCACAATCTCCGTAAAAAAGAGCTTCAAAAATCCAACCGCCGTCTCGCCAAACAAACCTCCAAACAGCCGCCACCCCTCACAGATTCTCAAAAACTGGCAATTTCAGAAGATTCCCATTTTCAAACCATAAAGTGTGAATATAAAAGATTCACCAAAGCTATAAAAAATATCAAAGTTGGGGACAAGAAAATGGTGGGGAGGCCTTGGGAGAGTCTGGAGAGGCTTCAATTGAGAGAGCTTGCAAGTGAGAACACGGAATATAGTGGAGAGAAGTTGAGGCCTGAACATTTGAGAGACCTGAGTGATATAATTGAGAAGGATAGGGATAAATTTTCTTGGCTCTTGGATAACGATATTGAATTTGCAGAAGAAAGATTTGAGAACGAGCAGAAGTGGGTCCCACCGAAGCGGAGAGGCGAAGCTGAAACTATTAAGTTTCTTGTGGATAGGTATTCTTAATCGTTCATGTATGTGTGGGCTCCTTGTATTTCTGTAATTGTTACTGCAATTTTGATTGTATGTTAAATTGTGTTGTTGAAGATTAAGTGTAACAGAGCTGAGTGTGAGGGATTGGAAGTTTTCGAGGATGATGAGACAATCTGAACTGCAGTTTACTGAAGGGCAAATGTTAAAGATTGTAGCAGGGCTTGGGAGTAGAGGGCAATGGAGGCATGCTCTGTCTGTTGTGGAGTGGGTGTACAGTTCAAAGGAACACCGATGCTACAAGAGCAGGTAATACATTCGTGCAGGTTTAGTATGTAGTACTGGGCTTGTTATGTTTCCTCTTCAATAATAATGTTCATTACAAGGTCGAGTCCATCTTATCAAATATGTCAATTGTTGTTAAAGGTAATTGCTTGGATGCCACTGCCTATGATGTGTACCAACTCCAGTTTTTTGTATTGTATTTATGTATATGTTTGTTCATTTTAGGTTTGTATACACAAAACTGTTGGCAATACTTGGGAAAGCAAGGAAGCCTAGTGAAGCTCTTCAAGTATTCAATTTGATGCGAGTAATAATTACGTCAGGATTTTGTGCTTTTAATGTTAAGGTCCCTCCTTATATATTATTGGATGAAAGTTTAATCCTGAATCGTGCGTAGGAAGATGCACACATATATCCTGATATGGCTGCATATCATAGTTTGGCTGTCACACTGGGCCAAGCTGGTTTTCTGAAGGAGTTGGTGAATGTTATTGAATCCATGAAGGAAAAACCAAAGAAGATAAAAAATGTGAAATACAAGAATTGGGATCCTGTCCTTCAACCGGATGTTGTTGTATTTAATGCTGTGAGAAAGTTCTGCAGTTTTCTTTGATTTCTCATACTTTGTTTGTCACTTTGATTTTCTTGATAACGTTTTATTGGTTCTTTAGGTTCTAAATGCATGTGTTCCTACCTGTCAATGGAAAGGAGTGACTTGGGTTTTTGAACAGTTGAGAAAGAATGGTCTTAGACCTAATGGAGCAACATATGGGCTTGCAATGGAGGTAACTTTTTTATGAAAATCAAATGGCGTAATAAGTTCATGTACGAAGAATATGTAGCAAATCAGTTTAATGTGGATTTGACGCCAGTGATGTCTTAGTGAAGACTAAATTCTGCCGATTATAAAATTATCATAGCGATTTTCAAGGGATAGACTGGTGTTTATTAAATACTGATGTGCATAGTTTAGAGCTTTTTTGGGAAAAATTATGTAGAGTAATAGGTCCCACGAAATGCGTGGATAATAAGTGGGTAGTAGTTGTGAATATGTCCTTAAAATTAATGTTTGACTTTGACTTTAAACTATAAGGAGATTATAATGAAACCCAATTCATGTTTTATTTTCTCTATTTTCTTTCTTTTGACTTTTTTCATTAATTGACTGAATATATCAAGGTTTTAAATGGAATGCTGTGATTAGTTTATTTTTTTTACTGTAAGCATATTCGTATGTGAACCTTTCTAGAGGTGCTTTTGAAAGGTAATGCTGCAATCTGGAAAGTATGACCTTGTCCATGAATTTTACGGGAAAATGAAAAGAAGTGGGGAAGCTCTTAAAGCCATAACATACAGAGGTACACCTATTTCCATCCCAGCCCCGTCTAACAAGTGCTATGTTGTGGTTGCTAACTCTGTTATCTGCATCTTCCTAGTTCTTGTCAAAGCCTTCTGGGAAGAAGGTGAAGTCGATGAAGCTGTTAGAGCAGTCAGGGATATGGAACGAAGGGGAGTAGTTGGAACAGCAAGTGTATACTATGAGCTCGCTTGCTGCCTTTGCTACTATGGGAGGTGGCAAGAAGCTATTTTGGAGGTTAGCATTATATACTTGTCTTTGGATTTATCATTTAGACTCTACATATCGACTTGGATTCCAATACTAAAGCAAAACGTGAATGGGTGTTAGTTTGACTGAAAACATAGTTGACGAGGAACCAAATGGCCTGATATTATCCTTGTAATCAGTCCATACAGTAGGGATATATATTAGTCGAGGTGAAATCAGTTATATTGCTATATAGATCACAGAAAAAGTCAGGGATTTATTTGAGAAGGGTAAAAGTTGCTTTGACTACATTTCTCTGTTTGAGTTGACTTGAATTCGTTGGGGCATGGATAACCAACATTTCAATATTGAGAGAACATTCAAATGTTTTATTCAACAATGCAAGTTAACTGCTGCTTTAATTTTACTGTCGACCTTCCAGCACCGGGCAAGTGTCAAACTCTATACATCATGTTGCCACTTAGTAGAGTCCTTTGTCTTTAATAAACAGTCACTACCCCCTGGTATGTGTCCCTTTCCTAATCAAACGATAGGAGAGCACCCCTTCTCCTGAAGTTACGGGGTCATTTTGCCAAGTTCCTTCGACATGGTCACCTGTGTCGATTTGGGTAATCAGTTCACCGGGAGGCATGTTTGTTGTAGCAATCATAATCGTGAACAATCAATCAAAGCATTTCCAACTCAAGCAATTTTGAAAAACATAGCGAAATGAAACTAAAGAAGTACTAAAATTACTTCTAGTAGGAAATCATTTATATTTCTAAATTTTTTTTTTGTATTTAATGATACTGCAAGACCTTATAATACCTACTTTTGGACAGTGACATTAACTTGTGATAGTAAAAACTACAAAGTTAGCCTTCTATTTTCCTTCAAAAGGAAGGGGAATGGGCCATTCGTGGAACGTTCCTCTGTTTTTGTTGTTCACTTCTCCACTTTTTAAGTTAAGTTGCATGTATGTATAACTGTATTGTATCTGGAGGCTTTTACTATAGTAGACTGGAAAATCCATTCTTGTGAAACATACCTGCAGATTGAGAAGCTTAGAAAGCTTCGTCAGACAAGACCTTTGGTGGTAACCTTCACTGGCATGATATTATCTTCCATGAACGGTGGGCATGTTCGTGATTGTGTATCCATATTTGAGCACTGCAGAACCCTTGAGGCTCCAGACATTGGTATCATAAATGCCATGCTGAAAGTTTATGGTCAGAATGACATGTTTCTTAAAGCTAAAGAATTATTTGAAGAGACCAAGAAACATGATTCAGGTTCTGAAATTAACGAAAATGGTCATCATTCGTCCCCAAAGCCAGATGCATATACTTTCAGTTCAATGCTTGAGGCTTCTGCTAGCGCGCTTCAGTGGGAGTACTTTGAAAGTTTGTACAAGAAAATGATCCTTTCCGGTTATCAACTTTTCAGTAGTAAACATGCTACTCTATTAGTGGAAGCATCCCGAGCAGGAAAGGTAAAATCCCTCAGATTCACCCATTTACTAAAACTGATTTCTCCATATTTCTGTGTTGTTATTAGTTGTTCGAATTAAGTTGAAAGTTGAAAATTCGTATGTCTCTTTTTTCAATGCAGTGGCATTTACTGGAACATGCTTTTGACGTGATTTTAGAAGCTGGTGAAATACCTCCGTTGTCATTCTTCATGGAAATGGTCTGTCAAGCCACTGCTCAACAGGACTACGAAAGAGCTGTCAGAATTATCAACACAACGGCTTATGCACCATATATAGTTGAAGAACAACAATGGATTGAGTTCTTTGAGATAAACGAAGACAAAATTACTCGGGATAATTTGAAAGAATTATTGGACACGCTTATGAGTCGTGATTTAGTTAAAGAATCGACTGTCTTAAATTTGTCAAGAGCATTGCAAGTTCTCTGTGGATCATGTGATGCAAAAGAGTCATCGATAGCTTCTGGTTTCAACACCAGTAGGATTCTTCCAGTGGTTGAAGATGACGCTGTAAGCATGGCATGCAGTGATCACACTAGTAATGACACAGTACGTCAAGAGATGGTGCCTGGGTCTTTTGACGTCAGTCGGGAAAGAGATGAGGCGGCTAGACTGACCGGACTCCTTAAAAACTTCGACTGTGATTTGGGATCTAGTACTACAGTATCTTTTAATGTTCAAAGAGAGGTTGATGATGACGAATATGGATTCTCAGATAGTGAGTTTGATACGTTGGATTTCAATCCTGATATTTCATCTGATGAAAGCGATGATTTACAAGATGAAGGCGTCCCTTCTGCCCATGAAATACTGGAGACTTGGAAGGAAATGAAAAAGAGAAATGTATCTTTATAACAAGTTGTATATAATTATGTCTTAAATTTTGGTACTTACAAAATCAAGAAATAGATATTATGCCCTGGCTCTCATTAAATTAAAATTTATTTTTCTCTATTCTTATCAATCACATGTTTTCCAATAAAATAATATTACACGTAAACATAAAAACTTTTTTCATTTTTTAACGACACATTCTCCAGAAAATTACTATTCTCCTCATTATAATTTGGAATAATGGAGCTCAAAGAGTGGCTATGTTTGAAATAGTAAGAAGTGTTCTAAAAGGTATGAAAAAGATCCCCTAAATGCAATGCATTTGCAAAACATACAAGAAAAAGACAGTTAACTCCTCTTTTGACCGTCTAATAGACCTACACAAGCTTAGACAATTTTCAGGCGCCAAAAGGCAAGACGTTTTTTCATTTTATTTTTTCCAATTATGTTTTCGATGGCCTAGACTTAATTTCTTGGGGAAAAAAGTCGTGGACTTACAGTTTTCAAAAACTTGGAAAAAATTCTTGGGGTAAAAGTTATTAAATACATATAATATTTCTAGTTGTAGTTGTTTGCTATATATCATTTTATTTATTTAATGGTCATGGAATAAATAAAATACAATAATAAAAATAAGAAATGAAATTTTACGTATAAGTAAAGCCATAACTCGTAATATTTGAGAATTGACCTAGCTGTCTCACCACGCCTTACCCTTTCAAAACTCTGATAATAAAACACGGGTGCACAAGATTCGCGGGAATCAACACCTCCAGAAAGAATATACCAAGGCAGAACTCAAAGCATGCCACATTGATCCATAACTCATTTCATCAGCTGGTGGTATACAAGCAAAAAATCAACTTCTGGTACCAATATATCAATAAAACCTTCAAGCCTGTACCTAGTAACTTTTAAAAAAGGAGGTAGAACATAACTGCCCTTGAGGGAAAATTGGACCCAAAAATTTAGCACTAGCCACAATTTAAAACCATTATTTAGCACCATTTATAATGCAGTTTAACTCTTCTTCATGGTTTTCAAGCTACTCTCCTTTTAAGTTCAATTCAAAATTAAAACCGATAAAATTCAGAAACTGTTCTATGGACAAAATTCCAGATTTACATAAATATCCATATCTACATCGTATAGACTTGACTTGCTTGCAAACGATTAGCCAGCGCACTGTCAAGATCCAGAGATGCAATGAGAGGTGGTGGCCATCTGCAGTTCTGCATACATGTAAAATGATATTATGAGAAGGTAATTGGCAAATGCAGACAAAATTTGCTCAGTTGAAATTCCCAAATTGGCCATCTACAAACTCTAAAAGCCTAAGAAAATTTTCTAGGAAATGTTAGTGGTACATAACAGGAAAAGGATAAAAGGAATATCAAGCAAAGGGCTAAAACTAGTGAAACATTATCAGAAGACGGGGTGGTCGGAGATCTGGGCAATTGCTCATCTGCAATCTGGACTGGATGCAAAATAGATCCTAAAGTCGTGCACGTAATGGTTAAGCACTAGTGCAGTAAGAGGTATCATCTGCAGATTCTCGAAACTCAAAGGATTGACTTTACCAACATCGGATAGTATTGCATTTCAATGCCTTCATAGCAGCCTCGGCAAAACACTGAGCAGCTTCTGCCTCAGCTTCCGCCTCCTCTGCTTCCCTTGCTGCCGCCTCAGCTTCCGCAATTGCAGCTTCTGCCTCTGCGACCGCTTGTGCAGCAGCTGCAGCTGCCTCTTGTGCAGTCATGCTCTTCATCTGCTCAAGCTCAGCATCAACTTGGGCTTTAGTAAGAATTCTGATAACTTTGGCAGGATTATTCTTTGTTCCATCTGGAAGATACATGGAAGCAACTTTCCCTGCATCAGAAGACATTGAACTTGGCGCAATCCTGTACTGATGCTTCACCTGTCAATGCAAACACTACAATTATAACTTCATATGAAAATCTGCCAAACACGTGCAGCAAAAAGCCAAGTTTTGTGCTATTGCAGGAAGACATCACAGCAGCACAAGGAAAACATTATATCTTTTTCAGCAGTTCAATCCATTCGACAAGTCAGTTGAATTCCTTCTCACTAGCTGAACTGAAAATTTCAAGTTAACCAGAGAGATGAACACAATTATCCACATAAGCTTTCCAATAACTTGACAAAACAATCCATTGATCCTAAAATTTTCGAGGAGGGGCCACTACTCTCATTGGAGCATGCAAATGCTCTCGGCATGAATCTTACCGTACAAGAAATAAAGGCTGCCTTGTTTGATATCGGAGAGGATAAATCACCGGGTCCGGACGGATACACGTCATGTTTCTTCAAGAAAGAATGAAGTGCAGTTGGGGGTGATTTTCTGGAGGCTATAGCTGAATTTTTTGAGTCTAGCTCGTTGCTCGAAGAAATTAATCACAACGTCATTGCCTTAATTCCCAAAGGCAGTCACACATCTACTGTTGGTGATTATAGACCTATCTCAAGTTGCAATGTCACTTATAAGGTTATTATTAAGGTCCTCTCCAATAGATTGGCACTGGTATTGGGACTATTATCGATCGATCGCAGGCTGCAATTGTGAAGGGTATGAGTTTGATTGAAAATGTCCACCTTGCTCAAGAATTATTGAAGCAAATATTGTATGAAGAAAGTTTCACCGAGATGCATACTTAATTGATCTTTGGAAGACGTATGACTCAATTGAATGGAGCATCTTGAAATCGGTTTTGGAGGGAATGGGATTTCCAACGAGATTCATTTGGTGAGTGATGGTATGCATATCTTCCCCTTCATACTCTATTGCACTTAATGGTTGCTTGCATGGATTCATTAAGGGTAAAAGAGGATTAAGGCAAGGAGACCCCCCATCGCCATTTCTATTCGTGATTTGTCTTGAATATCTATCAAGATCATTGAAAGCGGCAACTACCAATAGTGATTTTAATTACCATCCAAAATGTGGGCTTTTGAAAATCACGCATTTGGCATTTGCAGATGATTTGATGATATTTGCTAGAGGTGATGCTATATCGGTGCGCATATTGATGCAATACTTATCCAATTTCAGTAATTGCTTCGAATTGAGAGTGAACTTGAACAAATCAAATCTTTACACGGCTGGTATTCATGGGGCAGATTTGGATGAAATCCAGGAGGTTGTAGGCATGCCCAATGGGACAGTGCCGTTTAGACACTTGGGATTCCACTCGCGGCAAAAACGTTGAGAGTTAATCACTATGCCCCGTTCTTGGACAAGATTGCGGCATACATTAGTACGTGTACATGCGCCTCATTGTCCTATGTCAGGAGGGCCAAATTGGTTAGGGCAGGCTCACAAGGAGTCGAATGCTTTTAGTTATCCAACTTTCTGATGCCAGCAATCGCGACGTCAAGAATTATTCGGCTTTGCAAGAATTTTCTTTGGAAATCCAAAAGACCGCTAGTAACTTGGAAGGATGTTTGCTTCCCCAAAAGTGAGGGGGGATTGGGATTTCGAGACATAAAGCGTTGGAATAATGCATTACTAACCAAGGCACTTTGGAATACCCAAGACAAGAAAGACACTCTTTGGGTATGTTGGGTCAATCATGTATACTCGAGAGATGGAACCATTTGGGAGTAGATGCCTAAAAAGGATGACTCTCCATTGATAAAGAAGTAGTTGACAATTTGGGGATTGTTTTGTCCAAAAAGAGGACAATGTGCAGGCTGCCATTCAGCGACCGGCGGACTAGAGTACCGAGGGCAGACTGATTATGTAAAGTCATATGAGTATTTCAGGCTGAAGGGATCCAACAAAGTTGGGCAGCAGATGCTTGGAAGCCATGTATCACACCAAAACACTCATTTATACTTTGGCTGGCTAAGTGCCCAGTCTAGGCTACTTACCAAGGATAAATTACAACATTTGGAGATAGATCGAAGCTGTGTTTTCTGTGGACTTAACGAAGAATCTGGCCAGCACCTGTTTCTTGACTGCCCGTTCAGCAAGGAAACATGGGGGCAGATCCGAAAATGGCTGGGAATGAGTCTACACTAGCTAGCGCTTTGAAGAGGATTAAAAAAGAAGCCCGGGGGACATCTTGGCAAAGCAAAGCCAAGAGAATTGAGCTTGCTTGCACCGTTTACTACATTTGGATCAAGTGAAATAGGAAGATCTTTGAAAATCTTAGACCACACGTTGATAACATAGCAAGACATATCAAGACACGTATAAAAAGTCATGTTTTCTTTGTATCCTTATGTTTTGATTCATTTTGAGTCTCTAGCATTAGATCCTCAGATTTTATCGTTTGTATATCTTTTGTTCTTGTTTAGCCCGGGTATATCTGAGTACTTGTACATGAGTTTTGAGTTTTGGTGGGGGGGGGGGGGGGGGGGG